CTTTTCAATCAAGACATATAGACCTGTCCTGTAGAAGGTTCTTGGTCATTTTCTTAGTTGCTTTTCATATTATCATGATTAGAAACTAAGTCTTTTAAGTGGCTCCTTCAAGGGCCCAGACAGATGAATATCTGAGGATACCAATTGAGGACTTCAGAAGTGCTTAAGCAGCGATCACTCTGCTCCTTTTTGGAGTCTTTTAGCATTCTGGGACTCCAATTTGAACAGACCTTTAAGTAATTTACAAACTGCATACACTATTATGTCTCACCTGAAGGTTTTTACAGTGTTTTGCAATAACGTTTCCTTTATCAGCTATCATAAGAACATCAGCGGTCTATTTGGCCACATTCTCATTCACAGCAACATGCAGACCTGCTACTAAGGTCATTTTCTCCTTTTTCTTGAATTGCCTACCAATCCATCACCTTGCTATGTATACATCAAGGAAAAGTATTTCTTTTTGACTGTTTCTGAATACAACTTATTTTGCCAGTATTGCTATTAACATTTAAATTTTGTTTGTTACTGTTTTTATAGTAATACTTTAAGTATATCTGAAGATGGCTGTAGAATGGATCAATCAATGTGGCAGCAAAACAAATGTAATCTCTTTGAAACAAAAATGAAAGAAAGCTTGTCAAAAATTACTTGTGAAAATGCTTCATTAATTTTGACTACTTAGTTCAAGCTTAATAAAAAGGTATCCATTTAATGTAACACAAGACTCCAAGTATAGGACACCAAGAGAAAATAGAACTCACTAGAACAATAATGGTCTGAGTTTTGTCATTATTTAATGTAGTACTCAAACCTAATAAATGAGAGGTGGCTGAAAAGTTCTGGAATTGATCTACATCTTAAAAATCAGTATTTCAATGACCAAAAATCAGAATACTGATTTTTGGGAAATTGGTTAAGCTGAAAGCAGGATGACAATTGAAGAAGGGACAGAAAGTTTGGGTCCAAACTATTTTTTTTTTTTTTAAATTATTTTTGCTCAAAAGGACTAGTGATCAAAATTAATACTTTTTGTACTGTTACCAATTGCAACATTTGACACTTCCCCTTTTCTTAGAAACAGCCATCTTAGATTTGATACTTCTGAACTAATTCTATCACAAATTTCCATTTGGGCATCTTTTAAGTAAAGCCAAATGATTTCCATTTCTTTTAATTTGCCATCTTAGCTTAGAGCTTTTACAACTGACCTGCATAGTTTAAACATTTCTAGTACAGGCATGACCATTGTTTTCTTCTTATAGAAAAGGTCTTGGTAAGCAGTCTTGCAACAGAAGAAAAAAAAAAATATCAATACTTTCAATTACTCTGACACTAAGTTTCTGGTGTTTCCAGTGAAAGTGATTTTTTTTTTCTTTTACCATAGAACAATGTTCAACTTGTCTTTCTTTAACAAATATTTCTACCTTTAAGAATTGATTGTTTATTAAAGCTCATTTGTGTTTGTCTGTTTTTTTTTTATATTTATATATATATCCCAATGAAATTGAGGTTGTTTTTTTTTTTTTTTTTAAATGTGAATTTCTCATTAACTTTTATGATTTTTTTTTTTAAAGAATCAAGAGTTCCTTCCCTTTGTTAGTGAAGTTTCAATTGCATCTTAATCATTTGAGAGAAATTCAACTCTTAAGCATTTTTTTTTACTTATAGTTCTGTTAAATTTTCAATGACCTATGCACTTAATTTTAAATATACTCAGAGAATGTGAGAATATGAAATTTACTTCAAAATTTTTAACCAATAACTTCAGAAAGAGATTGATCTCTCATGTGAGTTTTTGATCTCTCATGTGAGTTTTTGATCTGTTTTGCATACGAAGTTGTTACCTAAAGAAACCTATTTGTTTTAATGTTTCTGTATAATATGACATTTTAAAAAAAAGCACTTAAATTTGCTCATAGGAAACTTTTCTTTCTTTTTTTTTTTTAATGCATATGATAATTGATGAAATTAGAGCCAGGCTTTAACCACTATTTTGGAAATAAGTGAAGTGCTTATTCTGAGACTTCTCTAAAAGGTTGTTTCAGACTTTACTAATCAAGACTACAACTGTGTACTATTGGCTGAAAAGGTATTGTAGTCAGTATTTCATCTACTTTAATTTAAAACAACACAAACAAAACTTTCCTATCCAAGCATTTTGGTAACATTGCTTGAGACAGGACACAATCGTGAATGCAATTACTGTGTTCAATACAATTATGTATTTGTAAAATCAGGAAGAAAAATTCAAGTATTGTAAATATCTTTATTTTAATATGACACTTTTTTAATGAATTTTATTAATAGTTTTGCAATAGAAGGATTTTTCTTTTCTTGCTCAAAATTGTCTTCCGTCTATGAAAAGCATATAAAGATAATGCCCTCCACCCACACCATTGATTTGGGAGTTGAGGTATAACTCATATCTTGTTTGTATATTTGTTGTAAGTAATGTATATATGGTGTTGGGAGATGGGTTTATCTATTTGATTTGTGTAATAAAACAATATTCTTCAGATATTTGTAAAAAGAAAATGTAGCATGACTTGCTAATATCTACCCGCTATTCACATACACCAAAGGTTTTTTTCCTATCTGTTGGGAGTGATGGAGATGAGTTTAGATTTTGTTATCGAAATGTACATCATTACCTGTAGGTAATTCTAACATGAGCTGATAACCATTATTTATGACATCCATTTTGAGAGAAAAAAATGTCTGCAGTGGTGCAGATTAACTATGGCAGAGAATGGGTTAATAAATTCTGTTTAGAAAAATATTACTCATGAAATTCTTATGTACACACTTACCAATTAAAGTGCAATGTATGAGTTTTCTTAATGTTAAGGATGGAAAAAAAAAAAAAAAAAAAAAAAAAACATTTACTTTCACTTGTGTGTGTATGTAGAGGGAACCCCTCCCCCCCCACACACACACTTAATATGCTGGTAAATATTCACATTTCAAAAAACTTTGAAGATACTAATTCATGAATTTTTTTTTTTTTAAGAATTTAATTGGGTAACAAATGTAAATACATTATGGATATTTGAAGTTTTCAATAATTCTTTTTGCAAGTAAAGGCTATTTTTTTTTTTAATTCCAAATCTTTTTCATGGAAAAATTTAAATTGGTCTGGCATCAAATTGAAAAAAAAAAAAAAATTTATCAAGAGGAATTATTTATGGCAACTTTAAATTATTTTCCTTTCATTCTTGTTACATCCTCTCACTATAAACAAGTGGTTGTAAATAGTGGGTTTAATATAGCCAAATAGAACTCAATGCCCAGAACAAAAATTGGGTGACATTTGTTTCTACACTTTTTTTTCCCTATATTTTTCTGCTCTAAAAACATTTTTTTAATGTGATTCAATAAACTGTGATATAAATACCTTGATTTGTGTCATTTTATTTTCCAGGCATATATAAAATTATTGCATATTCAAACATATGTAACGATGAGAGCAAGTGATCTTAAATGCTTTAAGCATCTAACGATTTTAATATAGAAAATCAGGTTACTGAGATGAATTATTTCTCTGAATATAGTTTCAAATTGTATAAGTTTTTTTTTTTTTAACATAAATTATGTAATGTAATCTTTACAACTTATCACAATACAAATTTCCCTGAAACTATGTATAATACAGGCATAAATAATGCATTTGAGATGATAGCAAATTTGGAGAGGAAGAATGAGTTTGTGTAGCACATGAATATATAAATGAAAAGAAAGACATACACAATCACTAGATGAGTGAATGTATGTATAACTTACCAAGGTGATAGGGGAAAGTTAAATGCTGACTGGGTAAAAAAAAAAAAAAGCAGCAAGAGCCTAATTTAAAGATTCTAGCTTAAAACTGGGAAAGAATAGCTACTAAAGGCTAAAATAGAGAAGTGCTAAAAAAAAAAAAGCCACTAGTTTAGAGATAAAGCAGGGGCAAGATTAACAGAAACAAATTTTACCTGGAAACTAGTTAAAGCAATTAAAACTGATTTAACACGTTATGAAAGTCACAAGTTGATCAATAAGAGAAAATAAAATCTGGCCAAAAGCAAAGACATTGTAGTTTTGAGAGGCTTAGGAATTTAGAAAATTTAAACTTTAACATGTAGAAGTTTTAAAAGCCCTGATGCAAGAATATATTTAAAATTAATTTAGATCAACATTGGTAGGGGGTCAAAGGAGTGTGCAGACACCAAGAGAACTGGAAATAGTTTTTGGTAATTAAAATAAGATTAGAAGTAGGCTTTACAACTTTATTTCCATTAAGAAAAGAAAAATATAACAAAATAAAGTGATAAAAATGAAAAGGGACTAAGCAAAAAGTGCAACATCAAAACAGTTTCATGTGCGTGTATGTGTATATATACATATTTTAATCTAATGACTTTCATACATTTGAGAGTACTCTCAAAAGAAAATTTTATTTTATACATTTTTTTTTTATGGTTTTACCTGCCTGAGTGTTGAAAATATTCCAAAATCTAGAATTTTCAATGCTGCATTTTTCCTCTCAATAAGTGACAGCATTTAAATCAAACATTCCTAAATAAGCTGATAGAGAGAAAAAGAAGTTTACTAATTCCCAAAGATAATAAAGTAAATAGCAATTATTGCAAATGTCTCATAAAATTTATATATTGTCCAAGGAGTTCTCACCAAGGTTTAAATAAATCATCTTTAAACTTATGCAATTTGGACTGATTCAATGAGTTTTAATATTTGGTTAATTTTTATTTTAAATAATTTGTAAATCTCAGATTTAAATAAAAGGAATATGTGATATGCAAATGGAGTAAACAGAAAGACAATCCTAAGGTCATTGTGTTTTGCAATTTTTTTTCCCCCCTCTTCTGAAGTCACATAAGCTTGATATTCATGTCTTTACAATCTATCATAAAAAGAACATATCAAAGCAATCAAATATGGATTTAAAATGACATTCAACCTATTAGATTTAACATGATTCAATTGAGCATTATATTATAACCTGACAAGGAAATAATTATTAACAGAAACAAATTTTAAATCCTCTTTGTAGAGAGAGGGGAAAAAGAAATGCTTTCTATTTTTGTATTTTTTTTCTTTGAATCTTGTAGAAAATGAAAAAGTTTTCAAGGCAGATTGTTTTGTTTTTTTAATTCTTTATTTTTTTTTCAGTTCTATTACTTAAAATATATACAGGCATCTCAAAATTAACCTACCATGAAAAGTTAGATTCATTTTGGAGATAGCACAATTATTTTATGACAACTTGATTTTTAATTTATTGTACAAAATCAAATCAAATATGCAAATGCACACTGGTTAGGTTAGAACCTGTAGCCAATATTTATTTTATAATTTCTAGTGACATCAAAATTAAAGTTTAAATCCAATTGTTCGATTATTTGGCATTTGCATATTTGTCAGGAATCTGAACATCAAAAAAATAAAAAATGAAGTTGTCAGTTACACAAAGCATCCAAAAATTATGTTGGCATGCCTTGTACATTTGACAAATTTGTTATTGAGAACACAGACAAAAAAAAAAAAAAACAACAATGTGCTGAGAATGACAAAACTGGCAAACATGGATAAAGAGGGAAACATTGAAGAGTTTTAGTAATTATTTAAATTGAAATCTCTGAACTTGAAAAAGTAAATGTTATAAAGAAAGGAAACTTCTAGAAGAGACTAACAATCTTGTGGAGAATCATGACTAAACTAGAGAATTGACATTTTTAAATTCATCTCAAGCAGCTGAAACATCTGGTTGAACATGTTGGAGAATTATTATTGTTGAAAAGAATAATAATTGGAATAATGTGGAGTCAACAAAATGAAACGACCCAATAAAATATCAACTAAAATGGACCCCCACTTTTTTTTGAGAGGGATAAGCATAATTATTTTATGTTCTCTAAATAAATGAACACACACAAAATGTACAAATAATTACACTTAAATTGGGTCCATTTTCATATTAGACAAACATTGAGTAGTGTTATTTGTATAAGTGATTGAATATCAGGTGTTCTTTAAAGTGTTCAGATAAAAAATAAAAACATAAAAAAAGGCTTATATTAGAAAATTATGATACTTTGAGCAAAACTGTATGTCCTTTGTTATGCTTTCCTTATACAAAATAAGAACCAAGTAAGAGACTAACTTATCCTTCAACAATTACAAATGTTCGAATCCAGTAGCCATTTATACAGTCACACATACACACAAAAAAAAAAATCTAACAAATACAAGTAGAGCTACTCAATCAGAACTTCTTGATGTTTTTTTTTTTTTAATATTTATTATCATTAGTAGTAATTATAATAGCAAAAGAGCATTTATATTAATTTTAAAATAGTGACATTATTAATAATAATAATAATTATTATAAGTGGCATAAACAGTTATAAAGTGACAAAACCTAAAAGAAAAAAAAATTACATAGAACAAGTCGGAATACAGGGCTGCTACAGTTTGGTTACTTTTCCATGTGTAGGAGATACAACAAAATGATCTAATTACAAGTGCAATTCATGCAATGAAAAAACTACTTACAATTTAATATGTATGAACACGTGTGTTGCATATGTGAACCTCCAGCCTATATAACAGGCAGCAGAGACTGAAATAGGCAGACAAGCAGCCAGCTAGACTGTGGGTTACCAGCAGACGCTAGCTACATGATTGAGCAACCAACTGCAGAAAGTCGCAGCTGATGCAGAACAGTGCATCATTAGTCATGACACACTGTGGCTGTATATATGTGAAAAATGAAACAACAAAGTCAGCATATATGCACATTGTAACTAATGCTCCCCTGGCGGTGACAACAGGCAAGGAATTGTATGACAGGGCTGGAGAGGGACAGTAGTTGATAGGTGCCCAATGCACTTCACTGCTGAACAATGGCGAAAACAGCACACGCAAAGGATGATGGGAAATTGTTTGATGACAATGAAATTAACGTTAGAATTACAGCTGAAATGCTGAGTTGCAACAGGAGGTGTGGGGAGCAAGTGACAGTGTCCAGGGACCAGCACCCAGATTGGCTGGTTGAACAGCAAAACAACACTGATGGAGAAATGAAGATTAATGATAACTGAGGTGAAAGTTTTTTCTTATGTACATCTGTCCTGAAGGTGCCATCCATAGATGAGAAGGCTGGGCCAAAGCTCATTTTCTTTCCTTCCTTCCTTTCACTAACTTTCTTGCAAGTAGACAAATCCTTAAGTTCACTCATCAACATATGGGAGCCAGAAAGCCTGTGGAAAAAAAAAAAAAAAATGATAATGTTATACTTTAAAACACAAGTTTTTATCAGTGAGAATGAATTTAACTCATAGGGAAATACTAACAGAAATAATGATAGTCAAAATTTGTTGATGAGCTGAAAAGAACTGTTTAAATACTGATAGAAATGAGCAAATAAACTTGGTTTAATAAGGAATTCATTTCTCAAGCAAGTATTGCCAACAGAAACAATACCAAAGAGTACTGATGGCTCGTCTGAGTTGTCAGATGAAATATCATTGGCATACAAGATGCTGTTAGAATTTCTTCGGCTAATCATATTTTAAAGATTGGAAAACACCAAAGTGATAAATACTACAGTTGAAATGGTTGAGAATATAGAACATCAAATGTATTTATGTATTCCTTCAAATGTTAATTTAGTACATACCCATGTTTGAAATAGGCAACCTCTTTTTATTTTAAAATATTTGTTTACCTTGACATTCAGTCAGCCTGAAGTTTATGAGTTTTCAAATTAAAACATTTTTTTTTTTTTTTTTTTTACTTCTGTTGAAAAATAAAATCCTTACAGTTGCCTTGATAAAATCCATTAGAGGATGAAACTTGTTGGCAAAGAAAAGTTTTCTTCTTGTCTATTTATTATACAGGGTGTGACAAAAGTACCTGTCACAGATATTAGTGGCCATGGTGTCTTCATCTAGCTAATATCTTACCATTATGTGGTAGGTAATTCTGCTGCACCCTGTACAATCTTTATTTTTTAAATGAAGCATTTACCCTATTCAGATTAATCATGTACAGAAGGGAAAATACTACATTTAAAATGATAGAATTGGAAAATGCAGACTTACCATGTTTGTGCAGGCTGTCGCCAGCATCATATACTTCGGGTTAAACTGGACACACTGTACAGGGCCAGGATGGTCTGCACTCAACATAGCCACCTTGCTACCCGTTTCAGTGCTCCAACAGTAAATCTTACCATCGGTAGATCCTGAAATAAAGGAGGTAAGTTTAAATTTTGGATAAATTTTTTTTTTTATTTTTACAAATGCACAATATATAATTTCAAAAAACAAGAAAATTTTTTCGAACACTTTTAAAAACATAGTTCTTGATTAGGTAAGATTTCAGAGAATCATTTTTAATACAGCATGAGGCTAGGGTATGTTGTGATTTTTTTTTTTATATTATCTGTAGAAGAGACTAAAGTACATAGCAACAAACAATATAGTCGTATTAGTTCTAATCATGCAACAAATATTATTTATACATTAGAATGGATATCAAATAGAGTTGAGTTTACCCATGCCATCAAAAATGGCATATTTTGTGAGGTTCTTACTGTTGTACCTGAAAACTAAGGAAATGGAAGCACTGTTTCAGCCATTGTTCAGACATGGAAATACTGTCGGCCATATTGTTATGCGTGAATAAAAAGCAGGAGTATCACTTCTGCTGGCAAAGAAGTAACCAGACTAAACTGTGTTGCCGTTATTATTACGAACTCCCTTACCAAGTTGTGACATAATTTTTTTTTTGTTACATGCAGGCCTTTGTTTTCATTTGTTATTGTTGGCCTAATCATTTTTTCACCTCATACCTTTAAACTACACACCACTCATGAAAACATTGTCAAATATTATCATTAGGGAGAGAGAGGTCTCTTTTTCTGTACAAGAGATAGAGAAAAAAAACAAAAAGAAAAATAATTCTCTCAATACAAATTATTTATAAGTTTCAATAGATACCTGAAAACACAAACTTGGAATCCGGGCTGAATGATGCTTCTAATGGAATTCCTTTGTTATTTGTGTGTCCCTATAAAAAAGACATCAAGAAGTTATTTTATGTTTAAAGCAAGTTTAAGACATAAAAAGCCACATTCTACAAATTAAAAAAAAAGTTAATGAAAATCCATGAAAGACTTTTGATGACAATGTTACATGAAGCAAGAGATAAACAAAGCTTACTGTAAATGTATGCAAGGGAGAGCCATGAAAAGCATCTATGAGGCGGATCACTTGAGCATTGGTGGAAATCAGGATCAGTTTCCCATCTGGACTGAATTTCATTCCTGTCCAATCACAGTCCTTATCCTGATTCAACTTGAACGTGGTAAATGGACCCTTAAAAGGAGATTTAAAAAAAAAAAAAAAAAAAAAAAAAGAGAGAAAAAGAGAGAGAAAAGGAAAAAAAAAATCCAGCTCAAAAGCTTAATGCCAAATAATAGGTTGTCACAAATGATGACATTTTTTGATTGTTGATCCAGTCATCATCTTAGCATATAAAAAAATCTTATTCACGACTATTTTCCTTTCAGTATATATTTACCCATAAGCTCAATGAAAATAATTACCATGAAACAATATCCATTAATCTTACTGTACAAGTACAAACTGAGGAAAAAGAACCATTTTTGCATTGAATCATTACATGTTATGAGAAATGGATACTCTCTGACAACAGTAAGTTAAGTGCAAATTAATCACCAAAACAATACCAAAACCTCTACCACACACACACTGCAGAATTAATGGTTACTGTATGATGGTCTTTCAAAAGGAGTTATTCATTATTGCCTCAAGGGAAAACAATAACAGCAACTTTGTACTGTAGAGAAATTGAATGTATGCATGAAAAATTGTAAAAGCAATGTCCTAGACTTGTGAATAGGGATGGCTGAATTTTGTTGCACGACAACCAACAGCCGCATGCTTCTCAATCAACTGTCCAAAAGCTGCATAACCTGAATTATGAAATTTTGCCTCCTCTTCCATAGTCACCTGATATCTCTCCTACTGGTTATCACTTATTTAAACATTTTGAGCTTTTCATACACAATTAAACATTCTCCAATAAGGAAGAGGTAATTGAACTGTTTGAACTATCATATCAAAGGATGAGAATTTTTTTTAAAAATGGGATCAAGAATCTAGAGGTATGTTAGAGAACAGTCATTCATCAACATGGTGAATATTTCAACTAAATAAATTAGTTATTTAACATTTTAGAATAGTTTTATTGATTTCTTATAAAGTGCATCATTTCATGTGTGACAGCCTAATATGTTTTAATGACAACTAGGTAAGCTGATCATGTGAATAATACAAAAAGATGAGATCCTGACAGAATGAAAAACTGCATATATATGTCTTTTTAAATAAATTTCTGACCCCCCATCTAATTTATTTCTTTGCTATATAAACTCAAATATCAAAAAGATTTAAACAAGAGATCAATAACCATCACAAACAAAAGTATTAATATTACCTTATCAAAAGACCGAAGATCATAAAGTTTTACACTTTCAGAATTGATTCCAGCAGCAAATATCAGTCCCTCTGGATCAAAAGCTGCAACTGGTCTGCCAAGAAGATGCATTAAACCCTTAAAGAAAAAAAAAAAAAAAAAAAAAAAAGGGGGGATAGGAAAAAAAAATAATTAGAGAATGAATAAGAAAAACTCATTTTTCTAAGTCTGGTTTGGTTTATATTTTAACACCAGGGATCGATACCATGATCAAATAGTTTCCTACAGCTTGACCAATTACAGTTTATTTAAAGTCAAAAAAATATTCTTAGAGTGTAAGATTGGAGGGAGGCACGTTCAGACGACAATAATTATTTAGTGATACAAGTTTTACTAATTAATTAGCCCATAGCTAAGGGGAGAAAAGGTGGATCCATACTGACCCGCCCCCGCAGGTATTTGCATGTAAGTGAATATAATGAACCCAGCTCTCTGATTTCCAACTCAGAGCAGTTATTCATTAATGCTGTAAGATTGGATGTGCAGGTTGTGTAATGTATTCCCGAGTGGTCACCCATCTAGGTACTGATCAGGCTTGATGTTACTTAACTTCGGTAATCATATAGGAACTAGTGTCTCCATGTGATGTGGGTGTAAGCCCAAGATCTCATCATGTTGTAACATTGGTTTCTATATGACCACTGAAGGATCAGTACTAGGACACACACACAATTATTATACAAGTCAATGTTTTTGCAATGTTGGTAAAAACTTCAGGATAAACTCAATATCAGCTAAAATTCACGTATTAGAAATACAATTTCTTTGGTGATGTGAATTTTTATTATGCAACACTGGCATTGTTCATCATATTGTAAACATATAAAGATAGTATAGTTATTGGTATTTATTTTTTCAATTTTAAATGGCCATGTATTGTAGCAAAAATACAACCACAAAAGAGAAACATTTTAGAGTGTTCTAGAATTCAAAATTTTAAAACTCAACATTTATTTTTCTCCACATTAGTTTCTTTGTTGACCAAGCAAAACTTGTTATGCCTTGGCCGAAAAGTTTTAATCTGCTATAATCAGCAGATATTGCACTTTCAGATTAATTTATTTATTCCAAACTTAAAAAATCTCTTGATGAAAGGAAATTTTAATTCCCGAAAACATTACAAATAGAGTTGAAAAAGAAACACAAAAAACGTCTTGTTTTTACTTAAAATGAAGATTTTAGTCAAATCAATATTAACAATCATTCGAAATAAAATCTAATCACTTTAGGAAAATGTAAAAGCTGTTACAGAAGCAGTAGAAGTATCCAGGATGAGATTATTACCTGGCAGTTTTGTGAGCGGAGGTCCCATAAACGAATTGTTTTGTCCAGTGATCCAGAGAGGAACTTATCATCAATTGGGGACATGCATAATGTAACCACTCTGAGAAGACACAAAAAGATAAGAGTATAAACATGAGACAGGCAAAAAGAGAAAATTTAATTCAAAATGCTAAAAGGTATAGTAAAAATATTCAATATACAAAATTAACAAGTAGAATATTTACGGTCAATTTATAAATTTAATATTAAATAAATACATAAAAAAAAACTAATTTGTTTATTTATATTTTTAATGTAGAAAAACTTTGAACATTAAAAACTTAGAATTTCATAGAGTATAGTTATATCAACTTTTTAATAAGAAAAAATTAAGCATAAAAAATAAAAAATAAACAACCCTTAATTTCTTTTAAAACAAACTTCAATATAAAATCCACTTTAAAGTAGAAGATAAATTGATTTAATAATGCAATTACAGGTTATAAAATAACTCTAGTAGATTTATCCCTTTTTTTTCTGGAGTTGTTATAAATGTTGCAAAAGTACAATGTACATTTCAAAATGTTTTTTTTTTTTAGTATTAAATTCATTAATCAGGAAAACCATTAAATTTCCAAAGTCAAATTATGAAAAAAAAAATAAAAAAATAAAAAATGTTAATACATGTTCTTTTATAAGGTTATGTCTATCATATATAAATGTTTACAGAGGATTAAACTATTTTTAAGACATTTACCAAATTCAACATACTTACTTTTTTGTATGTCCAGAAAAATAACGAATGTATTTGTTGTCATGTAATGACAAATATCTTATGGTATCTGCACAAGAAAGAAAAAAAAAAATCTGTTAAAAGACTCAAAAAAAGAATTTTTCTTTACAGTACCACACAACAAATAACAATGCATTCAGGAAAAAATACAAAATATTAAAAAAGAAAAGAAATAAAAACAAGTAAAATCAGAACAAAGTACTGATCCCTACAATGTAGCATAAAAACAAAGAATAAATATATTTTTGTGAGTTCATAATCTATGTCTTAAAGTTTTAGATTGTTTAAGAAAGTAAGGTAATGAAGGGTTTGGTAACCCATATGGATAATTTCAAAGAGGATGTAGAGCTCAATGTAACAACAGAGTAAGTATTAAAGTAAAAAAAGCAATATATTTTTCCTGATGAACCAGGAAAAATATATTTTCTGGGGAAATAAACTATAGTCATGGGACCTTAAGGTTGTTTCTTTTTTTTTTTTTTTTTTTTTTTTATTATATATATATATATATATAAAAAAAGAGATGGGTGGTTTCATCTTCACACTGTGAAACCACATCAAAATTTTTTATGGAATTGAAATTGATTGGTTTTATTAAGTTCTATCACTACTGACTATAAAAAAAAAAACAAACAAAAAAAAAAAAAACCACTATTGAAAAAGACTTTCAGATGTTAAAAATCAATTTTATCAACATTTATACCATTCTAAGAGAAAAAGATTGCACGAAAATACGTTAAAAACATTTAATTGACTAGTTTTAGGAAATAAATGTGAAATCTATTTGCTTACAAAAAAAAAAAAAAAAATGAAGAAAAAAAAGGAAAATAAATATATGATCTCTGAAATCTATTTGTTAGAGTTAAAAAAAAAAAAAAAAAAAAAAAAAAAATTGTCAATTTCGTCTTTTTTGTAAGTGTTGTACATAATTGTTTTCCAGTAAGAAGCCAGTGTATGCCAATCACAAAATAAAGTTGTTGCAAACAAGAAAAATGAAATTTTTTTTTTTTTTATGAATAAATTTGTTTTTTTATCTAGGGAATGCACCTAAATTAGATATTAAGAATAATTAAAATAGTTCTTAATTTCACTTTTAAAATGTGTACATTTCCAGATATACGAGTCTCTAGTATAAAATTGTTTTTTTTTACAAATAAAATTGTTTCTATCTAGCAATTATACCTAAAATAAATATTTAAAAAAGTAAAGTAATTTTAAAATGTGTATATTTTTAAAACTGCAAGTCATTTTTTAAACCCAAAATAAAAATTATTCTTTTTTTATCCACTAGTGTTCGGTGGGTGGTCGAGTTTGTTACTGTTCTGCCTATAAAATTCTTCTAAACAAAGAAAATTAATTCATTTTATTTTTACAAATATCTTTATGGTTTTATCGACACTTAAGTAACATTAAAAGGATTAAAATAGTTTTTAATTTCAGTTTTAAAATGTATATCTAAAAAAGAACAGCTGACACTCACAGATTTGGAAATCTGCGCATTCTAAAAGTGAAATTAAAAGCTTTTAATTATTTTTAATATTTAATTTTAGATGTATTTGCTAGATAAAAAACAAATTTATTTAGGAGGAAGAAAATAACTCATTGATTTTCCTTGTTTAGAAGAAATTTATTTGCAAAACCCCAATAACAGTTGACTGGCATACCAGAAAAGAATTGCGGAATTGCCATATTTTTAATTATTTTAAACATGAGAAGTTTCATTTTTTGGCTTTTTAAAAGCCACATCATAAACTAATTTCTGGAGAGATATACCATTTTCTCTCTCAAAAATGTGTTGTCCAAAGACACAAAATATAGATAATTTATGCAATAATTTCTCTCGTATTTTATTAATTTGTTAATAAATATGATAGTTATTTATAGTTGACAATTTATTTGAAAGTTTAATAAACTTTAAGTTATGAATTCTCTGACTAAATTACCTTTAAAGCCTAAAAACTGACTTTCGGTAAACAATTCCTACTTTATTACCCACTCCGATTTGCGGTTTTTCAATTCCGTTGGTCTTTAACGCATGTCTATAAATTTTTTATTACCTTTGCTTAAAACCAAATATTGACCCCTTATGCACCAGTTAACAGACTTCCAGAATGACAGATGCTACAAAAAACAACTTTTCGACTTTCAAAAGTCAAAAGTATAGGGGGGGATTTTTTACGCAACAAGACAGTAAATTTCAATAATTTGAAAGTTCTTTTACCACACATACTATCAGTTAATTTTTTTTTTCTTTTTCGCTGCTTACTTTATAATTTTTGAAGGAATTCACTTCCATGGATCAGAGAAGAAATGAACATTTTCCCGATTGTAGTTTAAGGTGTCTTCTAATTGAATGTACAATTCCAAGAATATTGATAAAGATTGCTGATGTTGATTTTGCAAAACATGTACAATTAAGTCTTAAAAAAAAAAAAAAAAAAAATCATTTTGCATTTACAGATGTTCAAAGCAAAATACCGTTTTAACTTGCTGTGAAAAATAATTCATTGAATAAAAGCACATTCAAATGACATTTAGAAAAATTATTTTCTTTTCTTTACAGCCATATGAATATTTTTAAGATTGGACCAGAAATACCTGAGAATTTGAGAGTTGAACGGACTAAGTTGCAAATTTATCAATCTTAAACAAAATCAGATATCACTACACAAGAAAATGAATGGCTTCCTTAGAAAGCAAAAATACTAAATTAAAAACAGAATTGAAAACCGTGGTATCAAGGGAAAAAAAGAAACTGACACAAATTGCCAACTTTCTTTCTCCCCCCCCTATATATATATATATATATATATATATATATATATATATGCGCATGTGTGTGTCTATTCAAGATACATGCATAATGGTCAATCTTATTGAAAGGTTTCTAAAAATAAACTTGAATAAAATCTTCCTTTTTCCAAAAACTATAAAGAGCTGGTGTACACAACTGCCTTTTTATTTTCCTAGTGAAAATTAAATCAATTGAAAGAAGTGTTGCATCATTTTGTTGACAAAGCTTGTAAAACAAATGATTAACACTCAATAGAATATTTTGTTCATTAAAGAAAAATAAATATTTACACTTGACACAAGTTCTTAATTTTTTTTTTTTTTATAAGAAAAAGTTTAGAAGAGTCCTTTTGAGAAATCAAACAAAAGAACAGGTTTTTAAAAGTTGAGGAAGTCACCAACTGTTACACATGCAAACTGGATACAACATTTTAATCAAATCCAGTGAGTCATCATACAAACTTAAAAGCTGTTGCAAATGGTAAATGGTGTGTGATGAAAAATAAATTTGGATATTTTTAAAAGCTTTATGTATTTTAAAAGGCACAATGCACTAACAATTTTCAGCTGAATTTACAGTTAAACAACTGAAAGGAAATAATCACCACAAAACATTAGTTTTCATACAATTCACAAAGAAACTCAGATCAAAACCAGAATGTTTAGCTGGTTAGAGAAATCTAATGGATATACTGGTAGAATGATAAAGCTTTGAAATTATATAAATAAAAGATTTTACCCAAAAGGTGAAAGAAAAATGCTATAAACTTTAGCATCAATCTAACATGATAACACATTTCCTGTGTTAATAGGAAAAAATACAAAATATACAAATTCAAACATTGAAAATAATTTTTGAAAAATTTTCACATTTAATTTGATATTATAGTTCAACATGCTGCATTAACATCTCATTTTAAAAGCAGAAAGAATACATTGCAATAATCACATTTCAAGATAAACAGCAATTTCAGAATGTATGTTATAATTAACAGATGGAGAAAAAAAAAAAAGTGAAAGACTTATCTATTGGACTTCAAGTTTTGCAGTTATACTGCTTGTCAGCATCAGATAAATCTATTGAATTTATGAACATATTTTTATATATGCTACATAAAAACTGCTAATTATTGATACCAAACAAACTTCAAAGATGTTCTATTCTTATAACATAACATTTACACTTAAATTGTGTGTGTCTGTTTGATGTTTAAATACAATCATGTGGCCATGTTTAAGCATGGAGCAGACTATTGCTGCCAGATGTTGACCTCAATGTCTACTTTTATATTTACATACCTTCTCTCCCTGATATTGAGCATCTTAACTCATATAAACAATATTTTTATTATATATATATATATATATAATAAGTCAACACTTAGAGGCGACAGTCTGTTTCATGCTAGATGCAATCGTCAGGTGGCACTTTATCCCTAAATATAGCACATCTTAAGACTATATTTCTTCATATATATATATATATATATATATATATATATATATATATATATATATATATATATATAAAAGGAAGAGGTTATAGTAGTTCCAACGAGAGAAAAGTGTGTATATTAAAAAGAGATACCACAAACGTTTTTGGTTGTAATGTGGTTTTTTGTTTTTTTTAAAAAAATATTACGCTTTATTTTCCATAATTTTACTACATGTGTTTCTGGTTTTGCGACCATAAGGTAAAGGGTAGAGATTTCCACATATTATTAAAAATAATTTATTTTTTTCTCCTTTGTTTTTCGATGTTAAATATTCTCGTTATGAGACATGCTCTTTCTATATGTTAGTAATCCGAATTTCTTTCTTGAACTGGCAGTGAAGAGTTCTGCACGAAGGGTCATAAAACAGTTAAGATTGGTCCGAGAGAAATGACGAATTACTTATCGGTATCTTATATTTTAATGTTTTAATGACCCCTGTGTGTTCTTAGATCTATTTCTATTTTCGTGTGTTTCTGTCAGCATGCGTGTATATTCCCTCCCCATACATAGACACTGTCTCACTATAAGGAATTAGTAAACATATTTGTACACATACACACACGCCGTCCCACCACAAGGAATCAGTACACACACACACATATATATATATATATATATATATATATATATATATACATACATACATACTTTCCTAAGTTGTGTGGGCTTTGTGTGCATGCCCGCGGGTAGTTCCCTGCTTTTGTCAACATGCGTATGTGTGTTTACGATTCCAATGGAATAAATTATGACCATGGAATAT